ACACCGAGTTCTAACAAGGGAGGTTCCACCCTTCCCCCGAGATGCCGTCGTCGTGCCCTCTATCCCGCCCTTCCCTCCAGGGGGAGCTCAGTCGCCGTCGACCCCCTCTCCTCCATCCGCCCCTCTCCGCAGGTGGTGCTCGGCGACCTCGGCTGTGTGGAGATGGCGGATCCCCACGGCAGGTTGAAGAAGAAACTGCGCTACAGCCCGACCTGCGATGACCTCGGAGTATGCACGCCCGCTTACAGAGCGGTAGACGTTTTCCTTTGGGAACCAGCGCTACTCAGAGGACCTGGACATGTGGTCCGTCGGGTACCTGATGGCGGAGTTGCACGCGCGCAAGGTGTTGTTCCAACCAGAGCCTTGCGGCGCGCTCGGGCATCCAGGGGGGCACCCGAAAGACTTCGCGGTTTTCTTCAGGGAGGTCTTGGGGATCCCAGGCATGGAGCCAGGGTCGGGAGACTTCTACGATTACGAGGACCAGGAACCCGCCCCGTGGCTGGACAACCTGCCTTTCTTTAAGAAGTGGTTCAAGCGGTCGGGCGAGGATTGGCTAAAGGCTGAAACAGCGAAGGCACTCGACGGCCGAGGACGCTGGCCCGTTGACGAACTTGCAGACTGCCCCCCAGACTTGTTGAAGGCCGCCGGGAGCTGCCGGCTTTGGCACCCTGGCGCCAGAGCGACAATCAGTCGTCTAAGGGCTCGTCGCTCCCTGCAGCCGGCTGGCGCCCAGCCCGACGTGCGCATCTCCATGGCGCAGGGAAAAAACGGCACGGGCGCGATAGCGGATGCGGAGTTGGACCCAGACTTGCTCCGCTTCTTGCAGAGAGACCCGCGCTGGCAGAACTTGGCCGAGGAGCGCCTGGACACGGGGGCAGCCGTCGCCAAATGCGTCCGAGGCGACGAGGCGGCAAAGGGCTTGAACACAGAGGTCGCAGGCATCGTGGACGACGAAAGCCCCCCGAAGTGCCGCAGCCTCAACAAGGGCGGGAATTTGCAGATCACCCCCCCGCCCCACATGGCCGCCTTCGTGCGAGCGCTGCGGAAGAAGATGCGCCCGTGGCTGCAACAGCTGGGAGACAAAATGCGCCAGGCTGTCAAAGCCGACGGCATGCCACCTGCCATCGTCGAGCAGAACGGAAAGCCCACCATGACAGAGCACTTCGCCGACAACGCGTTCGCGTACGCATCGATCCAGCTCATGCAACCAGGCGCACGGGACGATGGTTGGCACACAGATGGCGGATGCTCCCTGTTGCACGCGGCCGTGACGATTTTCGGGACGCGCTCCGTGCAAGTGAGGATCCCAGGGGTCCTGGGAGCACGTGATAGGGCGTCACCCTCGAGCACAGCCTCCTGCGGAAGGGTCGTCACCCTCGAGCAAAAACCTGGGTCCTTCTACATGGGCACCCTGTCCTCCCTCGAGCACAACGTGCACCACCACGCCTCCGCGGACTGCCAGGACTGTTTCGCGACCCACAACGAGCTGCAACAGCGCGTAGACGACGGCAGGCTGCAGATCGCCGTAATGATCCGCTCCGACGTCTTTCGGGAGTTCAGGGCGCGCAGGATCGACGCCACGCCTGGCCCGAAGGAGTTGTTCTTCAACGTCGTGAACCACGTCGTGGACGATCACCTGGCACGGGTCCCCGTGGCGCTGCCCGACCTCGCGGAGGTGCTTGACGAAATGCGGTGGCCCGCTTCCACGGAGGCTGTGGTGCTTTCCGATTCCGATTAGGCTGCAACAGTATCCAAATCCGATTAGACTGCCACAGTTTGCAGCACGGCCCGCGCAGTCCGAAAGAAGGCCATCGTCATCCTCATCATCATCATCATCATCACCATCTTCACCTTCGTCGCCATCATCATCGCAATCATCGGCTTCACCATCATCGTCACCATCATCATCAACATGTTCACGCCGCCATCATCGTCATGCGGGTCTTGATTTACTCATCATCATCACTACATGATGATGACGATGACGAGGAGATGATGGTGGATATTATTGTGATGACGATGATGAGGAGATGGTGATGAGGATGGCGATGACGCGGACGATGATGAATATCATGACGACGATGATGACGATGATGATGACGATGATGCAAAAACAGGTTGAGTCGGTTGAGTCCGAAAACCCCGCCTTGAAGACAGCCAGTAATCACCACACCATTACTACCATCACCACCGTCACCACCACCACCATCATCATAATCATCATCATTGTCATATGCATTGTCAACAGCATTCTCATCACCACCATCGTCAGCATAACCATCATCACCCCTAGCGTCCTCATCCTCGTTGTCCTACTCGTTGTCATTAGCAGCATCATCATCATCATCCGCAACATCACCATCACCATCACCACCACCATCATCATCACCACCATAATCATCATCAACCATCATCAGCAGCATCATCATCATCCTCATCTGCATAGTCATCCCCATCATCATCAGCGTCATCATTATCATGATCATCATCACCACAACAATCATCATCACAACCTCCATCGTCATTATCAGCATCACCACCATCGTCACCATCATCATCATCATCGCCACCACCATCATCACCACCATCATCATCGTCGTCATCATCGTTTTCATCATCATCATCATCACCCTCATCATCATGATCTTCATCGTTATCTTATTTTGATATTGATCTTTATCCCTCGTCGCTCCCGTTTTCCCTCACTCGCCCCCCCCCCCAGCGCTGGAGGGGGCAGGAGGGAGGAGGGAGGGAGGGAGGGTGGGAGAGAAGGTGGAGGAGAAGGAGGAGGGGGAAGAGGAGGAGGAGGAGGAGGAGGAGGATAAGGTAGACGGGGAGAAGAAGGGAGGGGAGATGATGGTGGTGATGATGAGGGTCGGATTGGACTGGGCGGCTACTGGGGAAGGGGATGCCCAGGTATGCGGTGTCAACCGTGGCCGTCTACCAGCAATTGCGTGATCAGCCCGCCATGTGACTGTGCACCCACTCGCGTCGCTGGCATCATCTCGGCGATCGCCAATCCAACTCGCCAGAGGCGCCACACCTGGAGCTTACCAGGAAAAATTGATCACGTGCTGCAGACCTTTTGATTCGGCGACTGGCGAACCCGTCGCACCTGCGGTTGGTACAATAGGAGCTCGACCACAAGAAACCGTAATACACCTTCCACAAGAGACCCAACCCTGAGATCCCAGGACGTCCATTGTTTTTTTTGTGTGGGAACGTGGCCCGCGTATTCTGAACGACGGGAGCAAAGCGCCGATCCGAACATGAGGCTCACGCTGCAGCGGGAGTACCACATTTGAAACAACGGAAACTATCGGATTGCAAACACACGTGACAAATCATTCGGCCCAATTCCGTGTAAACATCAATGCGTTGAGAGGGGGCCGTAGATCTTCCGGACAGGGTCAGGGGAGAGAGAAGAGAAGTGTTCATTTTGTGGAAGAGAAATGGGTGGGAGGAGGAGGGCGACGACCGCAAATACAAGTCGCGCGGAGCAAGAAAAGCAGCGTGTGCAAGTGCAGAAAAGAGGTGGAGGAGGAGAAGAAGGAGGAGGAGGAGGAGGAGGACGAGGGGAGGATGAGGAGGATAAGCTCCAGGGGAGCAGGAGGATGAGGAGGGGGAGGTCGAGGGGAGGATGAGGAGGATAAGCTTAAGGGGGAGGAGGAGGAGGAGGAGGAGGAGGAGGAGGAGGAGGAGGAGGAGGAGGAGGAGGACCAGGGGAGGATGAGGAGGATGAGCTCCAGGGGGAGTAGGAGGAGGAGGAGGAGGAGGAGGAGGAGGAGGAGGATGAGAGGGAGATGGAGGAGGAGCAGGAGGAGGAGGAAACGGAGGAGGAGGAGGAAGAGCAGGAGGAGGATGGTAAGCCATGGGTCGCTGGTTGGCCTGGGTCCGAAGGCGCAGGTCTAGACTTAGAGGGCAATTGGTAGAGAGGGGCCCGCGAGCGACCGAGGGGAGGGTGACGAGACCTCGTTTGCGAGCTGGCCTGGGTCCGAAGCCCCAAGTCTGGAAAAAGAGAGCATCTGGCAGAGAGGGGCCCGCGAACGACCAGGGGGACCACGATCGTGCGACCGAGGTGGGCGAATGAGCGACCGCAGCTCAAATTACGAAGGGGCAAAGGGGGGCAGAACAAACAACGGACGATGGCATCAATAACGATAGCAAGTATGATGATGCTTGTTGTTGCTGGGATGACGGTGACGTTGGTGATGACGATGGCGATGATGATTTTGTTGCTGTTGTTGCTGTTGTTGCTGATGATGATGGTGGTGATGGCAATGCTGATGATGCTGATGATGACGACGATATTGATGATTGTGTTACTGCTGGCGATAATGACTGTGATAGTGATGCTGGTGATGGCGATGGTGATGATATTGGAATGAGTGAATGGATGAAGGCATGAGGGAGTGATAGCGGTGGTGGACGTGTTGTTGTTGGTGTTGTCGGTGTTATTGTTGTTGTTGCTGCTGTTGTTGCTGCTGGTGGCGATGATGAGGATGATGAAGATGAGGATGATGATGCTGATGATGATGATGATGCTGCTGATGATGATGATTATGATGATGGTGGTGGCGATGATTAATATGGTGGTGATGTTGCGGTGGTTGCTGTGCTGATGTTGCTGATGATGCTGATGGTGTTGCTGCTGATGCTGATGATGTTGATGATGCTGGTGTTGCTGATGCTGCTGCTGATGATGATGATGCTGATGATGCTGATGATGATGCTGCTGCTGATGATGATGATGGTGATGATGATGGTGGTGAACGTGAGAATGCGGAGAGGATAGCAAACGAGGATGAGGAGGATGAGGAGCTGAAGGATGAGGGTTCATGAGGAGGAGGAGGACGACCATGATCCAAAGGGGAGGAGGAGGAGGAGGAGGAGGAGCAGCAGCAGCAGCAGCGGCAGCAGCAGCAGGAGAAGCAGCAGCAAGAGGAGCAGCAAGAGCAGCAATGCGAGGAGCAGAAGGAGGAGCAAGAGCCTCGCGCGAGGCATCGCCAAGGCGGACAAGAAGGCTGGAACTGCCACCACGGAGGGCGCCATTGCCTCGTACGCTCGCGCCTCGGCTGCCTTCTCCTCCTCCTCCTCCTCCTCCTCCTCCTCCTGTTCCGGCCCTGGGTCAGGAAGCGGAGGAGCGTCGCATGTGGGGAGGGGTCGGTGAGGACCTGGACCCTCGACGCTCCTACAGTCGGGGCCCTGAAGTAGGAACCCTTTTCGTTGGGGAGGGGCTCCGCGTTCCTTAAGTTTTTCGCAGCTTGCCTCAGGCTTTCCTTATGTTTTCGACAGGATATCGAAGGTTAACTTATGGAAAAAGGGGCCTCGTTCCTTATTTAGGGTTCCTTAGGTCAAGGCCCCGACTGTAGTCGCTTCCCCTCCTTTCCTGTTGCGTGTCAAATGTGGTCGCTCCCTCCGTGGTCGGCGGCGTCCTGTCCAGGAGGAGAGTCCAAGGGTCGAGGCTCGGCGACTGACGCTTCAGGGCGCTGTGGGGGCCCACTGAATGGACCTCCCAGGGACTGCTCGCCGCCACGGCTGGATCCGCAACGGGCATCTAGTGAAAACGCACCCCCAGAGGCTTCTGGGGGTCGACTTGAGAAGGAGGGGGAGGATGATCAATTAAATCCTCCTCCTCTTCCTCCTCGCTCCTCCTCCTCCTCCTCCTCCTCCATCTCCCTCCTCCTCCTCCCCCTTCTCCTCCTCCTCCTCCTCCTCCTCCTCCTCCTCCTCCTCCTCCTCCCCCTCCTCCTCGACGTCTGGGGATGATTCAAAAAAGCCCGCGCAGGACTTTTCCATTCGATGTGAGCCTCTGGGAGCCCGTTTCGACCTGTGTGGCCGTCAGTTGTAAGGCGAAATTTCGCCAGGCTGGACTTCAGGCAGGGCCTGGGGGAAAGGGCTGTGCAGATTTCGGGGGGAAGTGTGGGGGGTAGGGATCGCGGGCCACCAACATGATCATCCTTTGAGCATCTTGGCGCAGCCGATCTTCATGGACTGGGAGCGTACCCTTTCGCGGCCACGCTGGCCGAACCCCTGGGCCGCGACCCCGTGGATAGGGGGCCCCTAATAGGGGGCCCTTCTGCTCGGATGCCCCGCGCGGAACGCATCCATGCGACCGCGTGTCCACGGGATCGTACCGCTCACCCTCCGGGACTTCGCCTCCGGCTCCTGTCCAAGGCGTTCCTTTTCCTGAGCAAACTCCTCAGCACCGCCTGCACCCCGGCCCGCCCTCCGGCCGCCTGAGGCCCCGCCAGCCTGTGCCCTGTCTCCCCAATTACTGCTTTGCGCGGCCCGCCTAGCTCTTCACCGGAAGAGGCCCGCTCTCGACCCGCACACCAAAAAAAAAGTGCACGGGCTCGCGCCCCAGAGTCGAGACCGCGAGGGCGTGTTGGATGTGTTTGCCCGATCCGATTCCATGTGGGCTCAATGCTGAGAAGGCACGGACGGGTGCGCGGCCGTGAGGTGTGGGGCACCCGACCACACCATCGGGCGCGCAAGTGCCCGCCAGAGGCAAGGGACATGGAACCTCCGCTGATATCGACCCCTGGACCCGTCCACGGGTTCAGGGCTAGCGTTAGCTTGGGATGGGATTAGGGGGGATGCCTCGACCCCCCAGTCCCCATTCCTTGCCGATATGGGCTCGGCGGCCCATAGCGTCCACGAGCGTGGGGTTCGCTGCCGACTGCCTATCGCCGATCTATTCTCGATGTATCGCCGACTCCAGATCGATACTTGCCCCCGTGAGCCAGTCCCCTCTTTAGCGTTCCCCCTCGTACACAGGTGCGTTCTGGCAGAACTGTCGAGGCGCATCCAGCCGTGGCGACAAGAAGCTTCTGGGAGGTCCAACAGTTGTCAAGACAACGCGATGCCCGAACCTGGACTTTAGTATTCCTCTCCTCCTTCTCCTTCGCCGAACAAGGGTTTCAAGCAATCATAATTTCATGCAGTACCTTGTTGCAGCATGATTGCAACAAGGCGCAAGGCGGAATGACGGAATGGGATCAAACAGGAGCTCAACAGCACCAGGCCGAGCCACACGTTTCTCCCACGAGATTTCCCAGACGGCTTGATGGGCTTGAGTGCAATGCTGTGCTGCTGCTGCTGCCTCCTTCCTCGTTCCTTCCTCCTCCTCCTTCCTCCTCCTCCTCCTCCTCCTCCTCCTCCTCCTCCTCCTCCTCCTCCTCCTCCCTCTCCTCCTCCGCGGTGGCGCTCGCCTCCCCGGGTCAACCGCCCTGGCTCTTCGAGCAGGTTCCATCCTTCTCCCCCTGCCCGGTGCGGAGTCCCACGCCCGCTGCGGTCGGGGGCGGAAAAGAGGGGGGGGATGACTAGGGGGGGTGGATATCATGGCGGGGGCCATGATATTTCCCCTGATTTCATGGCGCCTCGTCTTGTTTCATTACGTCCCTGGCCCCCCCGCTGGGCCGCGCACATGCCGCTGGTCATGATTTGCACCCCCCCCCCCTCTTGGACACCCCCCTCTTAGCCGCTCCCGATGCGCTGGCACCACCGTGTGACTGGTGCGCTGTAGCCGTTGGGGCCACGGAGCACTCCCCCTTCCCCCTCCCCCGCCTCGCCCTCCTTCCGGAGCGCCGTCGGGCCGAGAGCGAACGCCCAGGTGCACTTCAACTCGAAGCTCGCGGTGCTGGTCGAGGCCGTCCATGCCCGCCGCTGGGGCGGCCCGTGGCGGCCCTCGGCGGCCGCCGGCGGCGGCCCGCGGCGGCAGCGGCAGCGTTGACGGTGGCGGCGGCCTGCGGCGGCGCCCGGTGGCCCGCGGCGGCCCCGCGGCGGCGGCGGCGGCGACGGCGACGACGGCGGCGACGAGGGCGGCGGTGAGGACCCGCTGCTGCCCCCTCGCCCCAGGAGCAGGACCGGCAGGGACGAGGCTCACACGTGGCTGCCCAGTCGTCGCTTTCCTCCTCCTCCTCCTCCTCCTCCTCCTCCTCCTAGATGCCATACTGGTGCAAGCCTCTCATTTCATTCTGGCATCTTGCTCTCTCACTCTTCCACGAGGAACGCGGGTTCTCACGTTGATGGTTGCCTTTCTCGCTTACATCTTCTTGGGACCGACTCTGATGACATCCGCGCAGCCTTCGGTCCCGCCCCAGGCCACCCGTCCTCGCGTCGCTCAGTATAATCCTCAAGCGCTACCTCTGCAACGGGGGCTACGTGAGGTTTTGGATGGTTTAGACACCTGCCATGTGATAGGTCTTACTGGAACAGGGCAGGCGATGGTTCGGGCATCATTTGACGGCACGTTGAAGGTTTTATCGCCCCGAGTGGGCAAGTATATCGTCTGGCAGTGGCCCACGTCGGCTACGAGAAAACTTCGCAAGCAGGAGAGGAGCAAGAACACCGACGGGACGAACACGAGCACTGGATGCATGTTGGCCCTCGATGCGAAGAAGTTTCGAACGCAACGATTTCTGCAGGCCTGGTGTCCACCCGATCAGATCCAGGGACGAGGGCGAGCCGTTCGATACCGCTGGTCGGGCCACTATGATTTTTGTTTTATTACCGCTTACGGTATGCTGTTGCCAAAGTCGGAAGCATATCGAAAACATTGTCACGCTCTAATAGACTGGGTCAGTAAGATTCTCTCTCAGCTTCCAGCTAGATGTACCCCGATATTGATGATGGATGGTAACTTTCATTGCGAGCTCCAGAATGTGGGTGGGCAGTGGATACACATGCACAGCACGAGCCAACAGGATGCGATTGGCCCTCGTGGGGCTGCCAAGGAGCATCCGCGCACACCGCACTGGCGCATGATGTTGAACACGCACCATATGTGTCTGGCAAACACGTACTTTAGGGAGGGGTACGGGGCCACGTATTTCAGAGGTTCGACCATGTCACGGATCGACTATTTTGCTATTCCGAAAGCCATGCTGGCCCAAGTTCAGACGTTACGTGTTTGGCGACGAACTGGACGACATCTACAACTCTCCCATGCTAAAGGAAATGCAGACCACGCTCCCTTGGTGATGGATTTCATGACCCGTTCTTGGCATGAACCGAAGTTGGATTCAAATTGCACATGGGATTATGACAGATATATGCAGGCCTGGCTGAAAGGTGGCCCCCTATATGATGGCTTCATTCGAGATCTGGACGCATGGGCCGTTCACCCAGACACTATGACACATATTCGTTCTCTGCAAGATTCTCTTGATGTAGATGGTTATTGGAAGTTTCTTCAAGCTGGCCTTCGAGAGCAGGCTGAGATCTATTTCACTCGACATCCTGGGCAGACTCGAAGAGGTGAGGGCACCAGCACTGCCCGTCTACGCGTGAAATACAAAGATGCTCGAGCACGACTTCAAGCAGCTGATCACGTTACCCAAGAGATGCGGGACACATGTAAGTTATTTCAGAAATACCTTCGCCGATTTCGACGGCGCGATTTTCGACGTATGCGAGACACTTGGTCTATGGAGCTGGAACGAGCCCAGCAACAAAATGATTGGCATCAAGTTTGGGTTCTTTCACGTCTGATAGCTGGCACGCGCTTGGGCGATTTCAATTGACTGCGACATTCCCTCCTACCATAGATGAGTGGATTCAGCATATGGGCCAGGAGGGGCCGAGCGGAGGTATGCAGGCTCGGGCCATTAGTATCGGAAGTCACGAAGAAGCGCCCTGCGTCCTGGAGCAGGCGATGGCGATCCCACCCGACACCGCGGAGCGCACCGAGTACATCGCACAGCGAGCTGATCAACTTCAACTGCGACTGCGGCCGGCAGGTGCAGCGGCAGGTATTTCAGGCTCAGTGGTCTTTGGTGGTGTCTTCTCAACAAACTTGTCCGAGACACGCACCGATGCCTCCGAGACTACCCATCGAGTTGCGGAACAGGCACTCGTCCAGTACGACACGCAGAACATGGACGTCGATGGCCGACCTTTCTATGTTCGAGCGCAGGAGGACTACCATGGTATCTTACATAGACTTCGGAAAGCTAAAGCGAGACGTGCCACCTTGGTCAGTACCTCGAGAGGCCTGGCTTCTTGCTCTGGCGAAGCCGAAGCATTGTGAACGATCTGGCCCCTTTCAGCAGCGACTCCAACAACTTCTATGCATTATCAGACGACGGCATCACATGCCACAGATTTGGGCGGTTAGTTCTGGTTGCAGGGTGCAGAAAGCTAACAGCAAGGAGAAGTGCAAGGCCGAGCGCGTCGTTCACCTTCTGGACCCGATCGGCAAAGCCTTCGCAGGCCAACTGTGGTCACGACGCACAGAGCATGGCTCCGACAACTCTCCAGGCTTCAAACCCCGACGGCGGCGCGAGCAGACCATCCTGCAGGTGAAGATAGCTCGATGGCACTTGGCTCAGCATCATCGTACTTGGGCGGCCCCGTTTTATGATCAGGCCAACGCCTTCGCGTCCGTGGATCATGAGGCGCTCAATGCTGTTGTGCGCGCGGCACCCCCACCTGGTGACGCCGAACTACTGCTGCAGAGACACACGAGGGCCTTTTGCTTTGTACGAGCGGACTCAGGTGACTGGGCACTGATGTCACTTGGATGCGGGGACCTGCAAGGGGACGTAGCTGCTCCAGATAAGTTCATCAATGTACTTGGCCCATGTGTGGACAGATGGGTAGCCGCAACGGAGACGGAGGAGGACCGTAGATTTTTCACGTGCTGGAACGGATAACTCAGACGCAGATCAACTTCAGTCACGGGGCGTATGCGGACGACATGTTTCGCATGGGCTTGGGCGAGGACGCGGAGCAGGCGAGTTCCCGAGTGCAAGACTGGGATCGGGCACTTGCTGCGCATGTCAGCGAGCCGACGGGGCTGCAACAGAATCGAGATAAAAAAAAGAGGTCTTCTTTCGAGCCTACGGTCGTGGATCCCACCAGAAAATGCAGCAGTTCTACAAACAACAGAACATCACCTTCGAGGGGGGGGCCCAAAATATGTCTGAGGCATCTGGGAGCATGGCACCATTTCGACGGCCACGAGACCTGGGAGCTCAAAAAACGTCAGGATGCGGCTCGTCCTGGGTGGAACGCCATGGGGAAGTTCTGGACTAGTCGTGCGCCTCGGAAAATAACAAAGACTGTGTTCCAGGGGATGGTCGTCAACACGTATCTTTCGGGTGGGGAGACTTGGCTCTTGTCTGATCGGGCGGCAGAACATAGCACGCACGAGTATTTCTGATGGGGGAGGGGGCTAACAAGCAGTGCGACGACCGTGGGAACGTCACGTATTGCCGTACCATATCTAACTATGAAGTAAGACGACGACTCCAACTATATACTACTCAGAGTATCTTGAGATATCGGAGACTTAGATGGACACACCATATGGCACGTTTTCCTCGGGATCATCGCGCGCTGCTAGGTGTGCTTACGGGCGCAGCGAACGGCAATAATCAGCTGACGGGGCGGGGGGAACCTCAACATAGATGTAATCCATGGCTTAAGCAGTTCGGAGCAGATCTTAACGAACTTGGTCGACATCATAGGCCGGCCCAGGACGCCCTTCGCGCTCGCGGTTTGTTTTCGCTTTTCGAGGATCCTGAGACGTTCGCTCCTCCAGAAGATATCATGGACCATGGAGCTCCTCCTCAGACCTCATCTTTGCCTGCGTTGCCAAGTTCGGGGTCGCGTCTGTTCAAGTGCGAGGTTGTCGTGAATGAAGCTCGCTGTGCACATTCTTATGATGCCATAAAACAGCTACGTGTTCATGAATATCGCGCTCATGGGATATGTAATGACTATAGACGTGCCCCCATCACGAATCAATGCCCATGGTGCTCAAGAGTCTTTGCCAACATCACTAACGCTCGTCTTCTCGAGGGAAGAAGACCCCTCCAGCTTGTGCGAAGAGACCTGGCCCACCGTCGGGACTTCTTTCGGCTCTGGATCTTCCGACAGATATCACGCGCCCCTTCTGCAATACCCCGTTTGATACTCTTGAGAGTGCACATCGGCATGTTCGCGCGCACTTTCTCGGTCAAGAGAGCGATGGGCGGGATGGGGATGGAGCAGCTGGCGACAGCAATGCAGACGGAGGGCGACTGGGCGCGGAATACCCGCCGCGCAGTGGGCAGCGCAGACAATGATCAGCTCAAGCAGCTGGCGATAGCGACGGCGAAAACGGTGGTAGGCATGGGCGTGATGCAGCGCAGGCTCCAGGGCTGCTTGGAGACGACGGCGCTGGAGCGAGAGGCTCATCCATACTTGAAGGGCCTTCAGGACACGGGCAAGTCTTACGACGCAGAGCGCAAGGCCATCAAGGAAGCGAAGAAGAACGAGGAGATGAACGAGATGACGCCGAGTCACGAGCGCTGCTGGATCACTTTGATAAGTATGATCGCAAAAGACGAGGGTGTGCCGCAAGAGAAGAAGACGCAGCTCTTCCTGTACTCGCAGAAGGTGTCGAGTGTTTCGGGCCAAGTGCTGACATGCATGCAGAAGAAGTGCCATCGCCGGAAAGCTTGGTCGAAGGACCGCTGGAGGATCAACCTGATGGTGGTGCCAGAGCTGAGGGTGGTGCAGATGGAGGCGATGGCAGCTATCGCGGCGAAGCCGCAAGTGGAGGTGAAAGCGGGCGCCCCTGCACGCAATCCGAACGTGCGCTCGGTGGCCAGCACGCTGGTGGAGATGGGGGAGTACACGGCGGCGAACCAGGAGGGATGAGGCCGCCCGCTCTTGAGCCGCCTGCCGCCGCTGCCCGTCTTTTCTCGTCCTCCTCTTCCTCCTCCTCCTCCTCTGGTACTAGCTCGAATGAGGATTTAGAGAGGCCCGAGGTTTTTGAGTTTTCCTCTCGGGATGGGTCCACGGGCTCGACTTAAAAGTACTGGTCTTCGGGACCGAGGGTGACTCCGATTCTGATCAGAGTGCCCCGCTGTCCAGTGGTGGCACGGTTGCGCGCCTAGAGGCCATCCAGTGACAGTATCGGGTGCCGGTGCTCCGCCGTGCTCGCTTGAAGTCCTGACTGAGAGTTTTTGCACGTTGGGAGATAGCGGTTTCTTGAAGTTGCAAATTTCGAGGCCGCTTGCACCCCGCGACCATAGGGCCCAGCACACGCCACTCTGAACTTAGTGCACTATTCGGCACGCAGGGGACGAATGGGGTAGAATAGAATAGAATCCTCCTCCTCCTCCTCCTCCTCCTCCTCCTCCCCCTCCCCCTCCTCCTCCTCCTCCTCCTCCTCCCCCCTCCCCCTCCTCCTCCTCCTCCTCCTCCTCCTCCTCCTCCTCCTCCTCCTCCTCCTCCTCCTCCTCCTCCTCCTCCTCCTCGGGGGCCTGTTCCTCCTCCCCATCGTTGCCTTCTCTCCCCCCCTCGAGGTTTTTGGGCATCCTCTTGTCCCCGATGCCTTTGGTTGGGGCAGGAGGAGGAGGAGGAGGAGGAGGAGGAGGAGGAGGAGGAGGAGGAGGAGGAGCAGCAGCAGCAGGAGGAGGAGGAGCAGGAGCAGGAGCAGGAGCAGGAGGAGGAGCAGGAGCAGGAGCAGGAGGAGGAGGAGGAGGAGGAGGAGGAGGAGGATGAGAAGGATTGAGAGAGGAGGAGCAGAAGAGGGGGAAAGAGGAGCAGAAGAAGAGGGAGGAGGAGCGGAGGAGGAGGACTAGGAACCATGAGGGGCAGGATGCGGGGAGGGGGAGGATGAGCGCGCCATAGAGCGAGGCGCGGTCGATCCGCGGTCCGCACCCAGCGGGGGGCCTGGCTCCACCTGAGAAACCAAGAGCCCCCGTCCGTGAGCACGATGCAGTCCACGGCATCCCGAACGGGGGCCCTGACGGGGCAGGACCCCGGGCCACGACGCCGACCGCGCCCGTGAGGAAGACAACCTCCGAGACGGATTTACCCTTGCCGTTCAGGGATGCGGCCGCCTGGCCGCCGACGCTTCGAGGGCCCGCGGGTTCGCCTGGAGCGCCTGCAGGTCCGCCTCGAGCATGCCGTCGCGCTCGGCCGCGACCGCGGCGCCGCCCGCCCCAAGAGCAGGCATGACGCCCGCCGCCGTCGCACCCCAGACATCGACCGCGTCTGTGTCGGTCCTGCGGAGCTGCCGCCGCCGAGCGGGCGGGGCCAAGCCAGCGCCGCGGCCCGCCACCAGCCCGTCCGCCCCCTCGTTGTCCAGCTCGCCCTGCATCTCGACCACGTCGGCAGCGGCCGCGGCGGCGACCTCCAGATGACGGAGGCCCGCGGGGGGCAGGCTGCGGGCGGCGCCGCTGCCGCGGCCTGCGACCACCCCCGCAGGGCGCCGTCCGTCTCGGCGGCACCGCTCGTCACGCCGCCGTCGGCACGGTTTGCCTCGGCAGCGGCCACGCCGCCGCCCGCAGCACCGCCGCCACGACCACCGTGTCCACGTCGCCGTCGCCGCCTCCCGTGGGCAGCAGCAGCGCCAGGAGCAGGTGCTGGCGGGGCAAGCATAGATCGTGCTCGGGAGCCTTGAGACGGGGTCAGTGCAAACGGGGGTCAGCCAGGGCGCTGGATCCTGCAGGATCTGACCCGGGTTAGCGAGCCGCTCGTGGCAGCGAGGCGGCCGCGCATATTGGCTGACCCGGGTTTGCGAAGACCCGCGTTGCAGTTTTTTTTTTTCTCCTGCATTGCAGTTTTTGGTTTCCTGCTGACCCGGGTCTGGATTGACCCGGGTCAGAAGATCCCCGACGTGCCCAAACACCATTCTTGGGGTTTCAACGCCACGAATCAACGCGACTCTTGCGCCCCGAGAATCCTGAGACGCGCCACAGCGCTATTTTGTGGATTTTGACACCGCAAATCCGCGTAACATGTCTTGACAATCTGAAACCGTGCTGGAACACCATTCCTGGGACTTCAGCCCTACGAACCTTTTTTTAAGATGACTGCGCACGACGCAAAGGCGAGAGCCAGATTTTGAAACAGATCCGGCCTCCATCTTTGAAGCTGGTGCAAACTTTTGAAGCGAATTTGCGGGGCGTTACTTCGCGAGCTCCATTTTGAAAACGACGCCCTTCAGCATCGAATGTGCTGCAAATTTGTGAAACGAATGCGCGCGGCGCTAAGGCCAGGTCTCCATTTTGAAATTGGCCCGCCCTCCATCCTTGAAGCTGTTGCCAATTTCATGCTGCAGGACACAAATGTCAGGAGAGGAAAAAACACACAGACACCATTAATCCTCGATACCCCAGAAAATATAAGAAAATATGGGAAGTGGGGGGGAAGACGGAAACCCAGAAGATATGGGAAAATATTGGGAATTCTGTTATTTGTGTGTATTTATTTGTGTGTTTGTGGGCCCCTTCAAAATGGTGAGGACGTCTCAGGCGAAACGCGCTGCCCGGCCCACGGGCACGCCTGGGGGTGCGACAGGGAGGAGTTGTCTGTGAGGAGGAGGGGTGGAGGAGGGACAGGCTCAGGGCTCGGAGGGCGAGGAGACGGACTTCAGAACGTCGCGCGGACTCTGCCACAAGCGACCTACTGGCCCGCCTCCGCAGCTGTCGGGGGTACGGGTCGGCGTCACCCCAACATTCTAATACTATGTGTGCGTCGCCCCCCCAGGGGCGACGCGCGTACCGAGAAATCTTACAGTGTATGCGCCGTGGCGGGCGCTTTCTGGCCATACCGTTCGGGAAACGATCATTACAATATGGGTATACTGCATGTTCGGGTCGGACGCGCGCCTCCAAGGAGGACACATATATATATATATATATATATATATATATACATATATAGTATTAGTATGTCTCTGTGCGTCCCATGATGGGGTGCTCTCGAGGCCACCTGGGCGGGCCCCCCCAGGGCACCACGTGGGCGAGGGACACCTTAGGCAACACCCGAACTGAATTGCACAATCGATGCGTCGCCGCCTGACAGCCCATTCGGTGCCCATGCGTGTCGAAGCGCTCGGCTTGATGTTATGGCTGGTACGGGCTTGTAACGAAGCACGCCCGAATATCCGAAGGAGCGCGTCCTGTGATCGATTTGGAGGTGGAGCCCCCTCGGTTTCCGACTTGTCGGGGGACATTCGGGAATGTTTCGCACCCAAGCGCGCTGCACCCCTACGGCCCCCGCGATCTGTTCGCTCTTGAGCGTATCGCCTTGTCTCCGTCCCGCTCCCCGCACACTGGCGCCATCCTGGCCACACAGCGTCGGATTGGGCTGGGCAGTGAGTGTTCGGGGGGACAGGCCTCAGGGGGATGCATCGAGCCCCACTCGCGCTCTGATCGCCGATCGGGGCCCGATAGCCCACCTTGCCCAGGACGGTACGGTTCGCTGTCGACTGCCTATCGCCGATCCATCGGCGATGTGTCGCCGATTCCAGCTTGATGCTCCCCTCCTGATCCTGGCCCCCTCCTCTGTTCGGGAGGGGGCCAGGATCAGGAAATACACACAGACACAAAAAAACGTCGATGTCCGATAGGACAGTAGGGAAATATAAGAGACGGAGAGAGCACCAAAATCTGACCAAACAGTGAGAAAGTAAGTGTATGTTGTGAAGGCCTGACGGCCGGTGCCGCCGACCCTGAAAGACATCGACGACGACCAGGAGGGGGAGGAGGAGGAAAAGGAGGAGGAGGAGGAGGCGGGGATGAGGAGGAGGAGGAGGTGAGAAAGTTAGAGTATGTCTATGTGTGTCTCCCTGGGCCTCTTTCGTGTGCCCAGTCCGCTTTTCGCGTTCCCGGCGATCGCCGCGTCGACGCCCCCTTCGCGCCAGCGTGGCTGGCCCGCTCCCCGCGCGCGAGGTGAACTGCCAGACCGATTTCGTCGCCATGAACTCGATCTTCAAGGAGTTCTGCGAGGACGCCGACGCTGACCCCCTCCTCCCTCCTCCCTCTCCAGGGTTCTGATCCTTCTTTGTCCTGATTTCAGGGTTCTGGTCCCTGGGGTCGGTTGAGCCCGCTTAGCGGGCGTCCTGGGCTGCCGATCTTACAAGTTTGTGCACCCCCCCGGCTGAGGGGGCTTAGACCCCACTTCCGAGGACAGCCGTACCGTACCGTACCCTCTCCATCCTCCCCTTCTCCCTCCAGTCCTCCCTCCCCATCTCGAGCCTGCCCGAGGTCTGCGGGGCATCAAGGGGCTTCCCACCAGAGACGTCAGCTACACGTGTCTCTTTCAAGCCAGCTTGCAGCGGGACACACTTTCAGCTGAAGCGCAGTCCAATCCAGGCCTCCCTCGTGCCTTCCCCACCTGTCTCCTCTTGCACCCCCCCCGCGCTGGGGGCCGCGCATGGCGCGCGTCACGATGACAGTGTGTACCGCTCGCCACTTTTTCCCCCTCCACCCTCCTCCTCCTCCTCCTCCTCCTCCTCCTCCTCCTTCTCCTCCTCCTCCTCCTCCTCCTCCTCCTCCTCCTCCTCCTCCTCCTCCTCCTCCACACTCCCCCCCCCCCTCCCCTGCCCTCACCACGACCGGTTCCAGGGTGGCCTCTCGGTTCTGGCGCAGGGTGCGCCGCTCGCCCGAGCTTCGGGCAGCCTCCGGCCCTTGGACAGTCTGGGCGGCCCCCCTTCTTCCTCTTGGACCGTTTCGCACCCCAGAAGCGCCCGAGAGCTCCTGGGCAACCGGGGGTATGGGCCTTGGGGAATTTTACAAGCCCTTTACCTCTCAGGGCTGCAGGGGCCTCCGGACACCCACCTGCGTCCCTCGAGGCATTGCTATTCTTTTTTGACCTGAGGACGCCGCCGCCGCTTGCCCACGAGCCGCACCCATGCTCTTGGACAGTCTGGGCGGCCTCCCTTTTTTGGCCCGTTTCGCACCCCAAAAATGCGCCCGAGAGCGCCTGGCCTCCTCGGTCCATGCTTCGCCACTTCCGTTGGCCGCGCCCCACTCGAAAAGCATCGAAATGGGCGTCCAAGGCCCATGCATCCTTATGATACGGGCCGACTGTACTTTACAAACCTTTTACCTCTCGGGGCTTCATGGGCCTTGGGGCACCCCACTACGTCCCTCAAGGCACGGTGGCGGGTACGAATCCTATTCTACTCTGACGTGAGGACGCCGCCGCCGCTTGCCTACGAGCCCATCGCCAGCGGGGGGCGTGCTGCAAGGCGGCGAGCCAGCATCTCCCCTTGGCCGACCGCAACAGTCAAACAGGATCATGAGGAATGATAACTTTGCAGGGGTGCCCTTGCACCCTTGCCTCTCGGCCCATTCTGACCTGTCGCCACGAGGTCCTTGCATCCTTGCCGCGCGGTCTTATGGAATCCAGTTCTCTGTAACCCCTGCGGGTCCAATCGACGGGGGGGTATCAGGACCTCCCCCGAAGGGGTTGACGTGGCCGCAGACGTGCTTCAAGTTTTGGGCCCCCGCTGGGGTTCGCGACATGGCCTTGGCTGATCCCCGTCCCTGACAGGACGTAGCCATGCAGCTCGCCGCCAACCCCACGGTGGTCTCCGTGTCCAGCGCCGACGTGCCCGAGGACTTGAAGGCCGGGCGCCGAAGAAGAACGAACGGAACAGTCAAGACGTTGGGATAAGGACCACTTTGGGCTCAGCCGGTCGGAGGTCTCGAGGTTGGCACAATCGCCAATGTCGGCGGTGTGCCTCCACCGCGGGAAGATGATCCCGACCTCGGTGATCGGGCGTTCTGGGTGGCTGAAGGGTTACCGCCAACACCAAAATCTAGGATCATCTTTCCCCGTCGGAGGCAACTCCCAGTGTTTCGGACGGGGCTAGGACGAGGATAAATCCGCTCCACGGCGCTACGGAACGCTCTCAGAGCGCTCTGGAGCGCTCTGACAAGGCCGCGGTGCCCGAGACATCTTCCAGAGTCGTCGGATCTGAGAGATTCTCGATCTGTGCCTACCCGAATTGATCCTCGTCCTAGCTTCGCCTTGTTGTTGGTGCCGGTGCCCATGTCCCAAGCCTCCAAGGTGGGGCTCCGAAGTTCGGGCCGTTCGTTTATTCTGGAGGGGAAAATCCCACAGACACAATTCATCGTCGACTTCCAGGAAAATGTTGGGAGCACATGGGAAGAAGGGGGGACGACGAAAGCCCAGAAGATTAGCGCAAAATCTTCTGATTTGTGTCTATTTATCCCTGTGCGCTCTCGTTAGATGCAAGAGTCCGGGAGCCCACTCTCGTGTGGCAGAAGCTCGCCGTGTGCCCTTTTGGTTCCTAGCAGCGGAGAACTTGGCATCGCTCGTGCGTGTGCATTTTTCCTTCGGCGAGGACCATCGAGGAGCATCCTTGATCATTTGGCGAAAAACCACGCACGAAACCGAAAAAAGCACCGGGAATGGACGTCCGAGCGATGGCGAGAGAAGCCCATGCCAAGAAACATCCTGCTCGCCCCCGCAAATGGCCTGGATATCTCAGGAGGGAGAAAGCACACAGACGCAATGGATCGTCGACTCACAGGAAAATATGGGAACTTCTGGGAAGTAGGGGAGAAGGCGAAAACCCATGAAGTTTTGGGAGAAGACGAAAACCCATGAAGTTTGTGGAAATATGGGGTATCCTGGAAGTCGTGTCTCTTTGTCGGTGCGCCCCTAGGCCCCTCTCTTCCCTTAGAGACGCGAGAGTACGGCAAGGCCCACTCGTGTGGCAGAGGCTCGCCCTGTGGCCCCAGGAGAGCCCCTCCTTTTGGTTCCCTGCAGCAGAGGAACACCCTGCTCGCCCCCGCGGGTGCCCCGGGTTTCGTGGGCTTCGATGGTGCCTATGGAAATCGGGGGCGGAAAAGAGGGGGGTGATGACTAGGGGGGGGTGGATTTCATGGCGCGGGCCATGACTTTTCCCCAGTTTTCATGGCGCCTCTTCTCATTTCATTACGTTCCTGGCCCCCCCGCTGGGCCGCGCACATGCCGCCGGTCATGATTTGCACCCCCCCCTTTTGGACACCCCCCTCTTGGCCGCTCCCGACTATGGAAAGCCCCCTAGTTCCTTGCAGTGGAAGCCCGTGCCGAGAAACACCCTGCTCGCCCCCGCGGGTGGCCGAGAGTGTCGATACAGTGGAAGTCGAAGAAGGCAAAACGCCACAAACAGAAACTTTCGGCGAAGCGTCCTGGCTTGCACGTAGGCCCACCAAAGAATGTTCTAAGAACCTTTTGAGGGCTTCCTAGAGGAAGAAAAAACGCCTTACACATAAACTTTCGGCGCTCCGCGCGTATTTCTCGGATCCGCGCTGGGTCGCCCGACGGCGCCTCCGGCGCCGCCCCTGGCGCGCTCCGCTTGCTGAGGAGGTGAGGCCAGCGCAGATCTAAGAAATCCGCGCGGAGCGCCAAAAGTTCATGTTTGTGCCGTTTCGTCTTCTTCTAGGAAGCCCATGCCAAGAAACACCTTGCTCGCCTCCATGGCCTGCCCCGGGTTTCGTGGGTTTCGATGGTGTTCCTGTGGAAAGCTTGACGCTCCCATACCACAAATCAGCATGGACGTCCTGGTGGCTCAAGGACTGGGTTTCTGGTGGAAGGTGTCTTGTGATCGAGCTCCTACGCAGCACTGTGTGACTGTAAACTTCCTGAAGTCCGCGCGGATTTCTCGAATACCACCCCCTTGACGCGCAGAGCGCGCGTGGCCAGGGGCCCCAGCGCCAGCCCATGAGAGATCCTGGCGGACCGGCGAACGTTTACAGTGGAGACTCATGCCAAGAAACCCCCTGCTCGCCTTTCAGGGTGCCCTGGGTTTCTTGGGCCTCGATGGTTTTGCTATGAAGCGCGTGAATTTCCCACAACAAAAAATCAACGGGCATCTTGGGGCCTCGGGTCTTGTGGAGAGTTTCTTGTGGTCGAGCTCCTACTGTACGCTTGAAGAGAGCTCCCGACCCGCCTCGCCCGCCCAGCATGCCGCGTCCAGCAGACCCCAACAGGCCCCGGTGGTCCCTGTAGGGACCCCTGCCTCGAGATCCCGCCTCGCCCACCTGGCGAGCCGCGGCCGCCAGTCACGATGCCAGCGTCGGCGTCGGCGCCGACGCAGAGAGACGCCGACGCCGAC